CACTACAACCATACCAGGGCCGTACTTGCAGAAAGGGGGACCTAGGAGCTTTTATTTGACGTTATAACATGTTACTTTTTTCTTTTTCTTTTTTTTTTTTTTTCTTAATTTCTTTAGTTAATTTTTATTTGTTGTAAATTTCTTCAAGAAAAATTACAAAGAAATGAGGCTATAATATAGTTGTTGCTTCTTTAAAAAGAAATAACTATCTAAATAACTTAATTTATTTACATTTTTTTAAATAGTTTACTACTTTAAAAAGATACAAGAAATTTAACTTTTAAACTTAGAAATCAATTTTATTTGCTTGAGCTGAATGAAAATTGAAAACAATTGAATAGACTAAGTAAATAAATACTTTTTAAAATAAAAATATTAGCACCCCCACCCTAATCCAGAAAGTAAGGCCCTGGTCTTCTTGTTTTAGTGGGGTTTTACCTGGACTGGAACCCATTATGTTTTAGTTAGTTAATAACTTATGGCTATCCCACTCCAAAAAGTACGGCCCTGGTATTGTTGTAGTCAGTGTGAGTTTTATTTGGACCCTACGATTAAGTTATTTAAAAATATAGAGGAGGAGGCTTGGCCCCTAATCCCAACTCCAGAACTGCCCAATTGACTTTTTACTAGCTACCGAATTTTTCTAAATTCGTATTTTTGCGTCGTAGTATATTTTCATCTAAATTACCAATAAAAATTCAAATTTTTCTCGTATTTGACAGAAACTTTGTTTTTAAGTAGTAATCTGCGATGTCAATATTCTAGTTATTTTTTCAATCTTATATTTTATTTTTAAGTTTTGTTAGTGTTTAGAAAAGTAACCAGTGTCACGTCATTCCACTAAAAAAAAATAAGGATCCTCCACGAAAATGTAAACGACTCTCATTCCACTAAAAGAGCCATAGCAAAAAAAAAATGAAGGATCCTTCACGAAAATGAGGAAAGATCAAACAAAAGACATTTTTAATCATCCCAAATTTTAGTTAAAAATTTTTTTTCAACGTTTTAATCAATCATTTTTTCGATTTGATAAAAAAAGATTAAAATCTGGAGGATTTTAAAAATTCAATTCTCATTTTTTCAAATTTAATAAAACAGAAATTATACTGTTTATTTAAAATATTTTGAACCAAGCTTAACTTTAAGCGCCGAAAAAATGTAATTTGAAAATAAATTAAAGCAAGTTAACCTTTCGCGTCTTTTGACAGGTGACGAAAGGCATTTCATTTTTAGCGGGAGGATAATTCTTTCTGGAATTTTTTATTTTTTTTTTTTTTTCAGCGTAATTTTTTATTTTTTATTTTTTTTTACGTTTACGATTTTTTATGGAAAAAATATAAAGAAATTAAAAATAAGAAGACTATTAATAGTGAGATTAAATTTCATAAGAAAAAGGTATCTAATTAATTTATAGGTACCTTTCTTCTGAAATTTTATCAGAAGTGTACATGAAATACTATAATTTTATGTACATTTATTACACTTTCTGTGTTATTTGTATTTCCATTCATTTTATTATTAATTTTAAATTTTGATATTTCATTTATGGAAAAATGTCATAACTGAGGTTAAATTGTATTCTGGTTGGTCTTCCGTACTTGATAATTAGTGCCCGACTGTATACACAAAAATTACATGAATTAATTACATCGGCTAATCTGATTGGTCCAAATGAAAAAATTTTCAATACGCTAGACAATCTCACACGGAGATTTTGAAAGGTTGATGGTGCTTTTAACAAAAGTTAAAATATTTTTAAAAATTCAATTTAAAAATTTTTAAAAAATTCTTCTTAAAATTAAAGAAATAAGAAATAATTGTATTAAAAATTCAATTTTCATTGAAAAAATTTTTTGCTTTCAGAAAATATTGTCCATATTCATACGAACAAATAAAAACAAAAGCATTTGAAATTAAATAGTATTGTTTTTATTGAGCTTTACTTTTGTATGTTACAATTCAGAGCTGATTTTCAGGTACGGGGACCAAATTAAAAAAAAAAAAAAATATTTACATTCTTCAAAGCCTTGTGCTTTCCTTTAACTATTGTAATAATCACTAAAAACCGATGGTACGAATTTCTAGAGTTTTTCATAAAATAAAATTAGATATGGGGGTGTTAATAAATATAAAAAAAAATATTTCTGCCATGTCTTAAATTAAAAAAAAACATATTTATAATAATTTTGTTTGATCATCTGTGAATAGTTTCTGAAAGTTTCATTAACATCTGACAATTATTTTTATTTTTGCAAGATTTTCCAAATTAATGTGTGTAATACAAAAAAACGCGCTAAAAATTATCTGTTATTTACTACTCCATGTTGCAACAAAGAGAAACAAGGTTTTTTAAATCAAAATTTAGAATATTCTAAAAAGATGGAAAAATTTTTTAAAAATAATTAAAAAAAAAATTTGGTCTATCCTCTTCATAAAAACATAAGCATTTTGACGATAAAATTTTGTTTTCATAAACTTTGGCGTCTTTTTCATCAGACTATGCTCTATTTTTTTGAAATGCCATAAACACATTGTCAATGTGCTTCATTCTCTTAGCGATTGCTAAATTGTTACAACGGAAATGAATAGGGTGTTTTCAAGGCGATTTTAGTTAAATGTAAACTTCAGTCATGAAACTTGTTAAAAATTTGTTTATAATGGTTCAAATAATTTTTTTAAATTTTTTTAAAAACTTTATTCCCAGAATTTTAAAATAACATCTTTAACTCAATTTTTCTTTATTCAAATGTCTATGTAAAAAAAAAAAAAAAAAAAAAACACTGAGTAGGTGGTCATAAAATGGAAAATGTGAATTGACCCCGTTGTCACCTAAATTGGTGCCATTTGTCTGGCACGACCGCAAAATTGGGCAGATAATTCCGTCAACAGCCGAAATTTCAAAAAGATGGGTTAAATAATTAAACTCGCTCAAAGAACCGTGGAGAATAAGAGAAAAGAAGACAAACTACATACAACATTGAAAAAGAAAGAAAGTTAATTTTTGCATTACAGTTCAGTTTTTAAACACCAAAGGTTTTGAAAAAATATTTTTTAGAACTGGAAGTTTCGGTTAAAAAACTTTTTTTTTTTTTCTAACATCATCTTGCAAAAATCTGCTAATTTAATTATTTTATCTGATACGTCCCCGAAGTGGGACTTCGATATTAAACTGATTTTTGGAACATGGCGAAGAGTCAGGGGCTTGCTCCGCCTTTGCCGCGGGTTGGCCTGGTATTGCAGTGCCTCCAGGAGTCAGCCCAGTCTCCCTCATAGGGGAGACAAATAAAACGAATCAAAAATAGACCTTCGGTTATGCGGAAAATAAAAATTATTTCCTTCGGGTCGTTTGCCCATTTTTTTTTTTTTTTTTTTTTTTTTGCACCGGTTCGTCATCGCCGTCAACCCTTGTGTTCCTTTCGCCCCAAAACGGAGAAAAAATGTGCTTTTTTTTTTTTTTTTTTGTCGGTCCGTTGTTGTGCGCTGACGTTCGGCAGGGAGGAGCAATCGCTCCTTTTTGCAGCAGCGCCTGTCTGGACTTTTTTTTTTTTTTTTTTTTTTTTCAGAGAGTTCGCAGCTTGTTGGCGTGGTGTCACATCACCGTTGTATTCCTAGGCCCCAAAACGGAGAAAAAACGTTCTTGCTTCTTATCCCCCCCGTCTCTTCAGTGTTCTCTGTCCATTGTTGAGTAAACGGGGCTGACGTTTGGCAGGGATGAGCGGTGGTCGTCCTTTTTTGCGGCTGCACCTGGATGTACTTTTTTTTTTTTTTTTTTTTTTTCTTCTTCTCCCGCCTTCATGGGTGGGCGATGTACGTTGTCTTGGTGATTGCCACGGTAGTGATCAAACAGCTGAAATGATTCCCTAGCATTCGGGATGACGGGCGATCTCTCATCTCGCCACAGCTAAGGAGGAGCATTTAATCTTTGTGCTCCCCCTTCCCCCCCGTGGCATTGCTCGCCCAGCCTGCGCTGCTTCCGTTGGGGGGGGGTCCGTTTCCGCGTTGGGCGGGCAATTGCCCTCTTGTCGCTGTCCCGGGAGCACTGGGCGCTGAGGCCTCTTTGAGAGGCAGACTGCTGTCAGGGATTTCGGCGAACGAGGTTGGGTGCCCGTGTTTCGGCCATTCCTTGGCCCCGTCGGTTGAGCCCGGTGCCTGCCTCCACTCGCGCAGCCTCATTTCAACGAAAAAAAGTTATCGCTTCTCGGCCTTTTGGCTAAGATCAAAGTGTAGTATCTGTTCTTATCAGCTTAATATCTGATACGTCCCCGAAGTGGGACTTCGATATTAAACTGATTTTTTGGAACATGGCGAAGAGTCAGGGGCTTGCTCCGCCTTTGCCGCGGGTTGGCCTGGTATTGCAGTGCCTCCAGGAGTCAGCCCAGTCTCCCTACTAGGGGAGACAAATTAAAAAAAAACCTTCGGTTAAAAATAAAAATTATTTCCTTCGGGTCGAGATTTGCCCATTTTTTTTTTTTTTTTTGCAGCTCCGTCATCGCCGTTCCACGGAAAATGGGCCCCAAAACGGAGAAAAATGTGCTTGTTTTTTTTTCCCACGCACTTTTTTTTTTTTTTTTCCGTTGTTGTTGCGCTGACGTTCGGCAGGGAGGAGCAATCGCTCCTTTTCTGGGCGCCTGAACAGAGAAAGAAATTTTTTTTTTTTTTTTTTTTTTTTTTTTTTCAGAGAGTTCGCAGCTTGTTGGCCCTGGTGTATTCCCGTTGCCCCAAAACGGAGAAAAAAAAAAATCTTTTCTTATCCCGCCCCTAACTCTCTCTGTCCATTGTTCTGCAAACGGGGCTGACGTTTGGCAGGGATGAGCGGTGGTCGTCCGTTTTTGCGGCTGCACCTGGATGTACTCTTTTTTTTTTTTTTTTTTTTTTTTTTTTTTTCTTCTTCCTTCCTTCGTGGGTGGGCGGTGGGTGTCGTCTTGGTGATTGCCACGGTAATGATCAAACAGCTGAAATGATTCCCTACCATTCGGGATGACGGGCGATCTCTCAAACAGCAAGGAGGAGCATTTAATCTTTGTGCGCGCCCCCACCCCCCGTGGCGTTGCTCACCCAGCCTCGCTGCTGCTTCCGTTGGGGGGGGTCCGGAGCGTTGGCGGGCAATTGCCCTCTCTCTCCCTGTCCCGGTGAGCACTGAGGCCTCTTTGAGAGGCAGACTGCTGTCAGGATTTCGGCGAACGGGTTGGGTGCCCGTGTTTCGGCCATTCCTTGGCCCCGTCGGTTGAGCCCGGTGCCTGCCTCCACTCGCGCAGCCTCATTTCAACGAAAAAGTTATCGCTTCTCGGCCTTTTGGCTAAGATCAAAGTGTAGTATCTGTTCTTATCAGCTTAATATCTGATACGTCCCCGAAGTGGGACTTCGATATTAAACTGATTTTTGGAACATGGCGAAGAGTCAGGGGCTTGCTCCGCCTTTGCCGCGGGTTGGCCTGGTATTGCAGTGCCTCCAGGAGTCAGCCCAGTCTCCCTACTAGGGGAGACAAATAAAACGAATCAAAAATAGACCTTCGGTTATGCGGAAAATGCCCATTTATTTCCTTCCCGGTCGTGGTTCCACTTTTTTTTTTTTTTTTTTTTCAGGGTGCCATCGCCGTCACCCTTTTTTTTTTTTTTTTTTTTTGTTGTTGTTTCTTATCCCACGCACTGACGGTGTTGTCGGTCCGTTGTTGGCTGACGAACAGCAGGGAGGAAATCGCTCCTTTTTTTATCCGCCTGTCCATCAGGAGTTTTTTTTTTTTTTTTTTTTTGGCGTGGTTGCTTGTCATCACCCCGGTTTCCTGTGCCCCAAAACGGAGAAAAAATGGCGTTCTTGCTTCTTATCCCGCTCACCGTCTGTTCTCTGTCCATTGTTGAGCAAACGGGGCTGACGTTTGCAGGGATGAGCGGACGTCCGTTTTTTGCGGCCGCCCTGGATGTACTTTTTTTTTTTTTTTTTTTTTTTTTTTTTTCTTCTTCTTCCCCGCCTTCATGGGTGGGCGATGGGTGTCGTCTTGGTGATTGCCACGGTAATGATCAAACAGCTGAAATGATTCCCCTAGCATTCGGGATGACGGGCGATCTCTCTCGCCACAGCAAGGGAGGAGCATTTAATCTTTGTGCGCCCCTTCCAGAGGCCCTCCGTGGCATTGCTCGCCCAGCCTGCGCTGCCGCCGTTGGGGGGGTTTTCCGGCGTTGGCGGGCAATTGCCCTCTTGTCTCTGCCCCTGTCCCTCGGTGGGCACTGAGGCCTCTTTGAGAGGCAGACTGCTGTCAGGATTTCGGCGAACGGGTTGGGTGCCCGTGTTTCGGCCATTCCTTGGCCCCGTCGGTTCGGCCCGGTGCCTGCCTCCACTCGCGCAGCCTCATTTCCGACCAAAAAATTATCGCTTCTCGGCCTTTTGGCTAAGATCAAAGTGTAGTATCTGTTCTTATCAGCTTTTTATATCACTTGGACCCATTTACTATTTTACATTGGATTACCTTACCTGGATTACTATTTTCATTTTCTTGGATTTATTTACCAATTTGGACATTGTTTGGCACAAGGCAAGTAAAAAAAAGTTTTTTGGAAAAAAAAAAAAAAAAAAAAAAAAAAACTGCCTGCCAAGGGAAAAAACTTTAATCTACGAATTGACTTTGTTTTCGCCAGAGATTTTTCGGACAACGTAAACAGATAAGTTTTTCCTTTTTGTTTACTCTTTATTTTCAAAAAAAAAAAAATTTTTCGTTTCTCTCTTGATTTCTTATTCTCTTTTGTTGACTCGGCATTTTTGATTCTTTCTCGTGTTTTATACCCCTCCCGGTTTTAATTTGACGTTTTTTCCTTTGTTTTTGAAACTATTATTGTCTTTGGTTTGCCCCCTTCGTTTTGTAATTTTTATTTTATTTTGTTCTTAAATAATACATTGTCCATATATGCCAAACAAAGAAAATAACATTTGACAAGTTTTTAAGCCGTTAGACTGTGGTGGATTTTCCACCATGGTCGATAATAACAATAAATACATTCCGGCGACACCGGTTTCAGAAACGGTGTCGCCTGTCAAATCGGCCTGGTCAGAAAATAGGCCGCTTCAGAAAAGGATGGCAAATTTTATGCCAACCAAAGAACAATATTTGAGGAGACGTTTAAAGGAAACGAATTCCTCACAATTAAAGAGGCACTCAACGCTGTGGAAACACGAACAATTTCCCTGCTGACTTCGGACGTTAAAACGAGAAAGTTAATTGGAGTCAGCAGGGAAATATGGAAGAGACCCTTAAAGTCTCTACAGATTCATCCTAAAGTGCTGGCGAGAAGGACGAATGCCTTATGGGACATCCTTCTCCAACGGAGCAACAAGCCAAGGACTTGGCCGGGAAGACGCTAACGTCAAAAACCCTGAGGCTTCAAACTGAATACATGGGCACCCGCAGAACAAGAGTTACCGTCCATGGGGTGCCCGTGGACATTTCTGAAGACCGGATGGGGGCCTTCTTCACCAAATATGGAGAGGTGAACGAAGTGAAGGCCCTCAGAAGTAGGTCCGGGATAGAGACGGGGGACATGGAGGTGCAGATAACCCTGAACAGATCGGCCTTCAGGACGTCCCCAACACATTAACCTGCCGAGACAGAAGGATGCTGGTGGTGGTGGAAGGCAGAAAAAGCCTTGGTGTTGGTCGTGTGGTGTGTCGGGCCACATGGCGAAGGAATGCCCCAGCAAAAGGGCACACAAGTTGCACCACAACCGACATCATCAACAACAGCAAAACCAGTTGCACCAAGTCAACCGGGGGAGGGGACTTCGAAATCGGACGGAGAGTGGAAAGAGGTGGTGAGAGGCCGGAAGTCTCCTAAAGTTTTGTCTCCACCCCCGCAAACAGAGATACCTCAGCCTGAAAAGGCAGTACCAACCTGAGAAGGAAGGGCTGCAGACTACAAAGGAACCAGCGACAGCACCCAAACAACAACAACAACAAAAGCAAAGCAGCAGCAAAACAGAAAAAACCAAAACAAACAGCAGGAAAAACAACAAAACAATGAACATCAAAAACAACAACAACAGCAGCAGATCCAACAAACGAATGAGCAGATGGATGTGGACAAAATACTTCCACCTCGTTCTTCATCCCTGAAAAGGTGCAGGGAGGAAGACGAAGACGAAGAGGAAGAACCAAAACGTCCCAACAAAAACATTCTTTCAGTAGTGGTAGGGCGGAGGAAGGCATGGAGAGATCCAGGTCGCTCTCCGTCCCTGCTTCACCAAGAAAATTGGAGGCTCCGACCAAACCTAGGAGCCACCCTTCCTCCCCCCGTCCCGTGCTCCACCCCCCTCTCCCTCCACCTCCTCCTCCCTAGACGCATCGGCCACCCCACCCCACACATCGACCTCTTCCCCTCCCCACCCTTCCAGGGAGAAAAAGAAGAAGAAGAAGATGTTCGCAGACCCCGAATCGATTTGCAAAATCGACCGGAACGATTTCAAATGGGGCCTGACGAACCAAAGGAAAGCCATACTCGGGGGTCTATACAAAATGAACTCTGTAGATGGCAAAAGTATAGAGGACCCCCGAAACTTCCCACAGGCCCCGGCGTAATAACCTGCGTGAGGGAGAAGGGGCATATCTCAAAGTATGGAACCACATCTTCGAGGCTAAAAGAAGCCTTCCCGAAATCCGGATGGTAGAGACAGACAATTCCACACTGGAAAAATTAAAAAACTTTTGTACTGGGAGGGTCCCCGTTTTGCTCCATCCCTCATTATATAGGGCAGTAAAACTAACCTACCCCACGGACGTCGGCGGCATTGTCCTGGACGGTCGTATGACGACCGAATTAGGAACCGGAAACCTGGGACAGGCCGTCGGGGTCCTTACCAGCGCAGATTTCCGCCCGGTATGTGAGTAGGCTTTTTGCATGTTTTTTCTGTTTTTCTCTTTTTTGCAGATCTAAACCATGTCTGTCAAGATAGCGACGCTGAATGTGAACGGCTTGAGGGATCGGGGTAAGGCGGCCCGCCTGCTCCGGGATCTCCTGTCGTTCGGCGTGGATGTTGCCGCGATCGAAGAGACCCACTTTGTTTGCAGTGCCGATGCGTGTGTGCTGTCTGGCGACTTTGTCGTCTATTCAGCATACGGGGAGCGGCTTGCCAGAGGAGTGTCTTTGCTGGTGAAGCGGACTCTAGATGCGAAGGTGGACCTTGTGCATACCGATGCCGAGGGACGGTTGATCGTGGCCGATATTGCCGTGAAAAGTGGTTCGTTTCGGGTCGTTGCGGTTTATGCGCCCAACGACCACGAGGAGCGGGTTTCGTTTTTTCGGCGGTTGGAGCCTTTCCTGGTGGATTCCAAGCGATTAGTTCTAGTGGGGACTGGAATGCCGTCCTGGACCCCAACATAGATCGGGGGTGGGGTGCTAGCGGGAGAAGTGGCGATCGCAGCCTGGTCGATCTGATCGCGGATTTTCGGTCTCGTCGATAGATACCGGGTCGATCACCCCGGGGGAAAATGTGGACGTGGGCGAATAGCTGGCCTTGTGACAAGGTGGTTAGCTACCTTGACAGAATGTTAGTGAGAAGGGCCGACATAGATCTGTTAGATTGTCCCACGTTCCACTGGGTAGGCTACACGGACCACAAACTCGTTTGTGCCCGTGTGGCGTTAGAACATAGGCCTAGAATGGCTGGCTACTGGAAGTTCAATCTGTCCTTACTGGACAGGCAGGACTTCCGGGAGCAGCTGACTAGCGTAGTGCAGCGGGAACTAGTGGGGGCGGTTATCGGGAATAGGTGGTGGGACAGACTTAAATGTAGAATTAGGTCCTTCACCACTGATTTCAGCAAGCGGCTCGCCCTAGATAGAGCTGATAAGGTGAGGACGCTTAAGGCTAGTCACGCCCGGGCGGTGGCTGGGGGGGATCCCCTAGAGATAGCCGTAGCTAAGGAGGCCCTGGAGCGCATGAATAGCGAGCGCTACATGGGCCAGGTAATTAGGCATAGGTTAAGCAAGATGTCTTCCGAAGCCGTGAGCATGGGCGCAGACCTGCGCAGGGAAGAGGTCCGTCGAGGTGGCGATCGTTACATTCGTGAAGTCGTAAGCCCGGAGGGGCGCACCCTTCGGGCCACCGACGACGTGTGCGAGGCGTTTCGGCGGCATTTCGAGAGCCGCTTTACCAGGGAGCCTGGTCTTCGTGAGGACGAGTTTCGCAGCTATTTGGCCGACTTTCCTCGGCTTTCGCCGACTGAAGCGGCTAGCTGCGAGGGAGAGA